TTCGGCCCTGGTGATAACTGTTCTGTGTATCTGTAACTACAGTTTAGTGAATTAATTCGGCCCTGGTGATAACTGTTCTGTGTAACTGTAACTACAGTTTAGTGAATTAATTCGGCCCTGGTGATAACTGTTCTGTGTAGCTGTAACTACAGCTTAGTGAGTTAATTCGACCCTGTTGATAACTGTTCTGTGTAGCTATAACTACAGCTCAGTGAATTAATCCGACCCTGGTGATAACTTTCATGTGTATTCTCTGTAGCTATAGCTACAGTTTAGTGAATTAATTCGGCCCTGGTGATAACTGTTCTGTATGGCTATAGCTACAGTTTAGTGAATTAATTCGGCCCTGGTGATAACTGTTCTGTATGGCTATAACTACAGTTTAGTGAATTAATTCGGCCCTGGTGATAACTGTTCTGTGTATCTGTAACTACAGTTTAGTGAATTGATTCGGCCCTGGTGATAACTGTTCTGTGTATTACAGTTACAGTTTAGTGAATTAATTCGGCCCTGGTGATAACTGTTCTGTGTAGCTGTAACTACAGTTTAGTGAATTAATTCGGCCCTGGTGATAACTGTTCTGTGTAACTGTAATTACAGTTTAGTGAATTAATTTGGCCCTTGTGATAACTGTTCTGTGTAGCTGTAACTACAGTTTAGTGAATTAATTCGGCCCTGGTGACAACTGTTCTGTATGGCTATAGCTACAGTTTAGTGAATTAATTCGGCCCTGGTGATAACTGTTCTGTGTGGCTATAGCAACAGTTTAGTGAATTAATTCGGCCCTGATGATAACTGTTCAGTATGGCTATAGCTACAGTTTAGTGAATTAATTCGGCCCTGGTGACAACTGTTCTGTTTTAACCTCACTAACATTTCAAATGTTTTAACCTTACCAACAATTTAAATGTTTTAACCTCACTAACAATTCAAATGTTTTAACCTCACCAACAATTCAAATGTTTTAACCTCACTAACAATTTAAACCCTCAGAAACACGGGGAAAGAAATATTTGCGTATGTGGAAAACTAACTATAATAACAATGAGCAACATAGGTGCAAAGATAAATATTAGGTCGTTTATTTCTATTGCTAATGATTTGTTAGTTTGTTTATTAACACCTCCCAGATCACTTTTTAATTACCTTCTCTAGTCCTGATAGCCGTTTTGGAAATGTTTAGGATGTATTTCCATGAAGTATTGTAATATCAACATTTCTGCTTGTTATTGTTATTGTTACTGTTCTAGAGCAAAGCCACGGGCTGTCTCTGCTCTGCCCACCGCAGAGAATCGAGCCCCGGACTTTAGCACTGTAAGTTCGGAAGCTAATGTTGTTTTCTTTTTTTTATACAGTTACGTAAAAGCAGTTCAGCTGGACTTGTGGATTTGCTTCTTACACACATGAAATGTAAATAAACCTAACACATTATTTCACTTTATTGTTTCTGCTCTCTCTGAAAATAGATACAGGGGTGTCTCTGGTATTTTTCAAATATACGCAAAGGAAGGGAGAGGAGTCAAGAGTCCCCCCGGAAGCTCCTGGTTTTTATGCTTTGATGATTTCGACTTTATCAAAAGTACAGTGACGATCAATTCATATTTTTTTCCCCATTCTTTCTGTTTTCACTATTATTTCAGCATTGAACTGCACACAAATGCATATCCTGCGTAATGGGTGCGGTGAGTGCGAGTGCAGCGAACAAAGCATATAGTTTGTGTAGTATTAACTTCCTCGGCTGCATAGTGGATTAGGCTTAACAGTACGTTTGCTAAAACTGTGGTCATCTGTGTAAGAAAGGTATAACGTTGTAATTACACTTGTTAGATGTTTGTACATTTGTTGGATACCAATGAAAAGCTAATGGCTGAAGTAGACAGATAAAGAATATTCCACCACCAGCTGAGAGTTTCATTTAAAAAAAATACTTTTCTCAAAGACAGAGTATTAGTCACAATACTCGTTTCACAAACGGAAATCAAGCATTTGTAACTTCAGTCAGTTTCCTGTTTCGTGAAAAAAACACAAAAGATACGTCATAGTGTGAAGTTACAGCTTCACAGATTACACAGAACAGTTGTCACCAGGGCCGAATTAAATCACTAAACTGTAGTTACAGCTACACAGAACAGTTATCACCAGGGCCGAATTAATTCACTAAACTGTAATTACAGTTACACATTTAAATTGTTGGTGAGGTTAAAACATTTGAATTGTTAGTGAGGTTAAAACATTTGAATAGTTAGTGAGGTTAAAACATTTGAATTGTTAGTGAGGTTAAAACATTTGAATTGTTAGTGAGGTTAAAATATTTAATTATTAGTGAGGTTAAAACATTTGAATTGTTAGTGAGGTTAAAACATTTGAATTGTTAGTGAGAATTTAACATTGAATTCGTCAGTGCGGATTTAACATGCTAGGAATCAAAGTTTATAGGAAAGGTAAGAGATATAGAACAGAAACAGATATAAAAAGTTTATGTAAAATACAGTAACGTAAATAAAATGTACAGTTGCTGGTAGTTTTCAAAGTATTTAAATGGTAAAATATTGTTTGTCAGAATAGTTATGTGTTAAAAGGGTTGGTTAGATATTTATCTCAAAGTACTTGTGTGATAAGTGTTGATCGAATATTTTTGTCAGAGTATTTAGGTGTTAAAAGGATTATCAATCGATAAGTTTCTGAGATTAATTAAGGATTAAAATGGTTGGTTAGGCATTTCTCTTAAAGTATTTAGGTGACAAAATAATGTTGGTTAGATATTTTTCTCAGAGTAGTTAGGT